TGAGGTTTTAACTCACGAAAGCTTATGCCCAAATAAATCTGTTAGTCTTTAAGATGCCACCAGACTCCTTGTTATTTTTGTAGATACAGACTAACACGGCTACCCCCTGATACTTGACACCTCTGAAAGAGAGTTTCAGAGTCCATTACAATAATTATTTTTAATTTCCTACCAGCAATCAAATCGATCATGAATCATGATCTTTGGATCCCACAAAAAACGTGGGTGTCCCATCCTTGTCAGACTGCAGAGGAAGCCATACATGGCCACAGCATCAGCCAGAGATGATTCCTATTATGCATGGTCATGTCATGTTCTGATCTCTGTCAGTTAAGGGGAATGCTAGGAATCAAGGGTGTATTTCATCCTCTTCATGTCTTGCACACTCAAGAGCTGGATTCAGGGCAGTTCATAAATCCTGAGGCCCTGTGCTCCTGTGACGTCGCCCTGCCTCTAGTTGGGGTAGTGATGGTTGTAGGGCTGGACTGGTCAAGGTCCTGTGGGCCTCCTTCCCAAACCACTGCTCCCTGTCCAGGTAGGCCAGGGTCTGTCCCAAGCAGAGGGTAAACCTGCCACCCAGTCAGTGGACTCTGTGCTTGGCCATACATGCCACCTCAGCAAAAATTTTGTGGTGGGTGGGGCTCCAACCTGGGCAAGAAGTTCCAGCATCATCCCAGCCTAGCCATGATGGGGTGGCAACAACAAAGCTTCCCCACTATGCACACACAATCCTCTGCAGAAGTGTCAGTGGCCCTGCCCCCCTCCCATGCAAGAGCTAAAGAGGTGAAGGTATCAAAGTTCCCTTTTATTTCCTTTCTTTGAGGAGCAAATAGCTGCTTGAGCTCACGTTTAACACCTATGAGTGCAGGCTCTCTCACTCCCATTTCCTCCTCCTCTCTTTGTCTCCTTCATTCCATCATTCCTTGTACTTCCTTCTTCCTCATTCATGTCATGCCCATCGGTCACTATTCAAGGGAGAATACTGTATCTCTGACTTAAAATTTCACGTTCTCCAATCATTTTCACCAGTAAAACTCAATCAAACTCAAATATTCATAGACAGAAAACACACAAGGGTTATGAACATGACTGAAGCAAAATCCTTTATGAACTCTATTAATATATTCACAGATTTTTAAAATTAATTGCCCATCTCTATTATTTTATCAGAAGTTGACATATGAACATTTCTGGAATAATATTTGGAAGTAAAACACAATGCAAGAAACAGAATTATCTTTCTGTACCTTATGGGTTTGAGGTTACATGCTTAATCCTAGTTTCCTATTCAGGAATTTGACTGTCAGTTTATTGGCAAGAAGTAGTATAATGGTTATTCACGTTATTGTGCCAGCTAAGATTTCTGTCAAGCTTGACTGTACTGATATAGAGGAAAACGTACAAATGACTGCTTCAGTGGTAGATGAAATCTTAAAATGATTTCATCTTAATATTACTATAATACATTTCCAATTAGCACCCCCAACATATAAAGGCTTCTTCAATATGCATTTTACTTAAAAAAAAAAAAAAAGAAGAAAAATATCTCTCAGAGCATCTGTTTAATTAATTAGAAAATCCTAAATGTTACACAAAGCCATATATATAAGATACAGTTCTGTAAAAAAAAATAACACACACATATATATATATATATATATATGCTTGGCATGTATGGCCAAGCACAGAGTCCACATATATATACACACTTCACAGGCAGAAACCAAGATGTGCTAAGAGTAGCCAGGCTAGATTTGAGTGAGAAGTGTTGCAGCCTGGTGCAGGAGGTCCAGCACCACTCAAGTTTGGCACCCCATCTTCCACCCCCATTAATAGTGCGGGGAGTGATTCAGATTCCAGTGCTGCTGCTGGCATCATTGTGCTGGGCCCGAGGTGACCCACCAGGCTGAGAACCTGGAGTTAGGAGCAGAATCAGGGAAAATTCTCCCACCAGTAGCGTGCCTGAACCAGGGCCGGCTCCAGGGTTTTGGCCGCCCCAAGCAGCCAAACAAAACAAAACAAAAAAAAAGCCGCAATCGCGATCTGCGGTGGCAATTCAGAGGGAGGTCCTTCGCTCTGAGCAGGAGTGAGGGACCGTCCACTGAATTGCGGCCGAACAGCTGGACGTGCCGCCCCTCTCCAAAGTGGCCACCCCAAGCACCTGCTTGGTAAGCTGGTGCCTGGAGCCGGCCCTGGCCTGAACTCAGGGAGAGGCAGGACCAGGAATGGCCTTCCAGCTGCATGCGGAGAAGAGCTTCCCTTGCCCCGCAGGGAAGGCAGTGACTCCATAGACCTGGGCCCTCTCTGGCTTCCCCATCCCCTCCCTAATCCCCCAGGCAGCACAAGGAGGGCTGCTACCCCAAAGGCCTGGCCCTCTCTGACCTCCTCCAATCCTTCTCCTCTTCTTAAACTCTTTTGTCTCAATGATAATTTTTTAGAAGGGTGGTGAGGGACCTCACCTTCAGATTTTTCTCTGGGCCCCCAAAATAACATCTATGTGATCCTTGTCCTCTAGCCTGCAAGCAGAACCAGGAAACCACTTACAATGTAAAGTGTTCAGCTTGCAATTTTAACAGTTTTCAGTACACCACAGACAATGCCTACCTCACAGGAGTGTTGTGTGGCTAAATGTCAGAAAGCCTTTTGACATCCTCAGATGAGTGGCATGGTATAGGTGTAAAGTAGTCTAAGGCTAGGTCTACACTACCCGCCTGAATCGGCAGGTAGAAATCGATCTCTTGGGGATCGAATTATCGCGTCTCGTCGGGACGCGACAATCGATCCCTGAATCGACGCTCTTACTCCACCAGCGAAGGTGGGAGTAAGCGCCGTCGATGGGGAGCCGTGGAGGTCGATTTTGCCGCCATCCTCACAGCGGGGTAAGTTGGCTCCAATAGGTCGAATTCAGCTACGCGTAGCTGAATTTGCATATCTTAAATCAACCCCCCCCTGTAGTGAAGATCTGCCCTTAGTTATCAATTACTTCACTTTCCCACAAACAGGAACATGAATGTTAACTAAACCACTTCAAATTCACACCTTTAAATAATTCAGATTAATTTTCCTGGATGTCCCTGTGTAGACAAACCTTTAGATACCTATCTTCATGCACCCAAGTTAGAAAAATTTGTCCAATGTGCATCAGCAAGTTCTTTTTTCCCCCCTCAATTGGCAGATTATTCCATTTACACTTCTTTGTACAGTCTATAAAGCTGTAAGAATAATTTTATAGGTAATGCTGTTGCAAGTGCTTTGTACACATTGCAAAGAACCCTTTAGTCCTTCTTGGTAAAGTAACCCTATGTCAGGAAGTAAAGGAATAATGTATTAGATGTGATTGTTCAATTTTCAGGTAGAGCAAACAGACGTTAAAAGTACATGCCAGAAGGAACACTGTCAGATGTAGATTCTAAAAGCCTGTAGGGCAACACATGGATTTCAAAAATATAACATATTTACTCCTGTGGGTTATTACAGTTCCAGTATTAGTCTGTCTTCTGTTAAATCATGTATTGAGCTATTTTATGTGACCATTGTTCCACAGGCTGCCTTAAATTAGGGACCAGTTTGGGGGGGAAAATAGATACTAGGTAATTTTATGAGAATATGAATCAAATCAAAGTTCTGGGTTTTAGAGAATTGAATTATTTACCGAAATGAATTAGCTCCAGCTCTTTGCTCATGACTCAGTTCACTTGAATAGTCTATTTTATTTATTCTATTTTTTTTTAAATTCACTAACAGTAAAGGCAGCAAGGCAGATTTGTACTTCCAAATGACAGCCTCATGTATTGTTTAACTTTTAGAAAGCTAAAATGGACTAGAACTCATAACTAGACTCTGTGCACAGAGAGTTAAGCCTTAAGATTATGTTACTTAGACAGAATGGAATCAGGACAAACACATTGAAAATGTGACAGTTCATGTATAGTTTCAAAAATGACATTTGATTATGGTTATACATTTTTTAATGAAACATTTATCAAAAACATTCAAAAGTATCACCAGCAGAAAATACTTATTTTTCCCCCATGTCAAAAATGTAAATAATGAGAGGACACTTGTATAAAATAAATTTAAAAATTCCCTCCTGCATATACAATTCCACTAATCAATGGTGTGTAATGTGATTCAAGGTAATTACACATTATGGTGTGAATGCTTCCAACCATATTTTGATGACTGTAGGTATTTTAATTTTCTGTGGCACTTTATTGTTGCCTGCCTGTCATGATAGATGTACCATTTACCAATGCTGAATCAAGAAACAATTAAGCTTCATCAAAACATTCAGGATCACGTCCTCAGCAGGTGCAAATCAGTGTAGCGGTATTGAAGTCAGTTCAACTACAGAGACCTGACCCTTACATTATATTCTGTTTGACTGTATTAGACTAGAAGACCGAAATAAAGATTTGTAATGTCAGACTAAAGTTATTAGGGTGTATACGTTTTGTATGAAATGGGGAACCAGGCAAAAGTTGGAACCTAGATTTTATATACGCTCGCAATGTCACTATCTGATTTAGGGAGTGGGTTCAGGAGGTTACTCTGGGGGGGAATAGCTTACAGTGGGATCCCTCAGGAAAGGGTCTCCTCCACCAAAAAAATCAATATAATACACTGCTAAGTTATATTATTTTATTATTTATTTCTTACAGGTAGCCAACCAGGTTGTGCAAGCTCTACTTACTCAAAAGGTAGATCGTTTCTCTGATTTTTGGCATGTTTTTAAGGCTGTAAATGCAAACCATTAAATTAGAAAATGTATGTTTTTATGCAGGATACATTTTTCAAACGCTGTGTACACATTTCAGTAATGCAACCGCAAAATGTGAAATATGACAAGTGTTCTACCAATAACAAAAATGAATAATAATTTCTGGGACTGGGCACCTCGGAGGATTGGTAATGGAATATATAGCCTCACATCCCATTTGATATGTAGGGTAGGCCTGGCTAAAGTCAATAATGCCGGACAGTCCATCCCATCTCCTGGCTTTTTTGTGTCCTATACAAAATGATTTGGTTCTATCTCCCAATCCGATTCCTGTTGGACATCAGAAAAAGACAGTCACACTTGGCACTCTTGTTGGCTCTGAGCAGAATATAAGGGTTGTAAGTGAAATCCTGTGCCTCCCTGAGTGGCAGTGGAAGGCTCCCATATACACAGCGGAGGAATGGATATTCTAAGACTGGGTAGTGAAGAAGATGTACAGGGGATGCTTCAGCCCCATGCTATGGAAACTGTGCTCTTTAGCAGCTCTCTGCCATATGACAGATGTGTAGAGAGGGTTTGTAGGTAGGCCATGCAGGAATATCCTGGAGTGTAGCCACCATGTTCACAAACTGTGATGCCCCATGGAGGGAGCATATAGAGGGGGCAATTAATGTTTCCTAAAGCCCTACACTCAGTAATTGTGACTACAAAATGGCTCCATAGATGCCACTGTCAGTTCCATTCCTCACCTCCACGTCTTCAGAACAATATCTTTGTCTCTGTACCCACAGTTCCACCCTGCATAGGTTTGGAAATGATACTGCACACTCAAGCCTAGTGGTGGTCCACGCAGGTCAGATATGAGGCAAGGCAGTGTGGGGAAGATTGCACTTTTGCTGTTCTTGCTATATCTATTCTTACATATAAGCAGAGGACTGATCCTTGAGTACATAAAGCAAAATCACATCTTATAATGGTGACATATTTGCTAGAGTTTCAGTCTCCATATTTTAGTCTGTAATTTGGGAAATGTTGTGATGGTTTTCCAAAAGCAGAGAGAAGCTCTCTGAATTCTTTTACACTGAGAGTCAGATTTTTTTATGACAATGTACTTTCCCAATAATGGACCCACCCAAACTCGTAGGAACCATGGAGTTTGTACAGATATAATAAAAATTGACTTAAATACATTTAATAAAATAATTTGCTGAGTATTGATGGGATTTAACAGCTGCTTACCTACTGCTGAGTAATACCAGCTAATTTAACGTCCATGGAATGGAGAGGGTACTCTTCTAAATACTAATGAATGTTAACTGTTACAGTACTCCTACCTCTGTTCATAATGAGATCATTTATAAGAAAGGAGAGGAAAACAATAGTGTAAGAAATTGGACTCTTCAGGTCAATCACAAAAGGTAGTAGCTATACAAATCCAGGTAATAACTAGTAAACAGATAAATCTACCATAGTGCCGCTAAGCAGTAAGACACATCAAGTCATGCCACAGTGAGATAACACACCTCTGGGGCATAGTGAGGCATGAAGACAAGCTGAGAGCTTTCAAAGATTCAAGAAGAGTAATATTGCACAGTAACATATATTGGGTATGTTTTATTGTGAATTTGAAATTGCTCCGCAAGGGCTAATTTTTGTTTAAATTAAGTACATACTGTAATGTAAGGGATAAAGTACTGTACACCCCGCAGTATATGAGAAGACTGATTCCACTGAGGGATTCTGATGAGAGAAACGGAGAGAGCAAAGCTTGAGTGATTTATCAATGTCACTGAAACCTTGAGATGGAATTACAGTCTTAAATGTGCACTTTTGGAGTATATCATTTGTTATAATACATATGGAATTCCTCTGATATGGCTGGCTTTTTACCAGGTGCATGCAGAAAATGGGTGAAATTGGGAATTTTCCTGAATTAGCCCCAGGGCAAAATTTCACCTTTTGTATGCAGAAAATTTGTTTGTGTTTTTCTCCCCACTTATAAATAGCAGGTTTTACCTCTGGGGAATCTGAGAAGTCAGATAATCAGCAAATGATTTTGAGACAAACCCACAAAATACATTTTGTGTGTTTGCTAGTGGGTGGGTTGCACAGCCCCATTGATTTCTGTGCAGATCATCAACCATCATTCTTCATGTATCCACGGGTGGCTTAACTCTACGTGGCAGAATTAAACCCGGGTATTTCCCCTGGGCAAAGAGGGATGCAGTATTTTGAAGCCCCACACAGGAGGTGACATCCCCTGCACAGTTTGTAACCTGTCTCTGCTGGGGTTTCCTATGTGGCAACACATGGGAAGGGGCCTCGGAAAAGGTAGGCAGTGGGGAACTGCTGCTAGAGAGCGTTGGTCGGGCTAACACTCTAGAAGCAGGTTCCAGGCAGTAGGCTGGAGTAAACTGCATGGAATATCTCTGCAGCCAGTGTGAGGTTTCCATCCCCTCTCCAGAGATCCCTAGTGCCCAGTTGAAAAAGTGCGGCTGGGTGCTTGGGTCTAAGTTTTCCTTAAGATCTGGATCAACATTGTGACATTGGAGTTATAGTGCACAATGGAATTGCTGATTGATCCATAGATCTGACCTTTGCTTGTCACCCTGCTACACTTGAGTCCTTTCAGGCAAGTGCTGACCCACATTCTCTGCTCCAGGATCTGCATGATCATTTAATTTTTCCCTTTCTGATCTTTAAAATCTTGCCACCTGTTATCTGGTGCTACAGGTGACCTTCAGTGCTGTGTATGGTGAATATGTGGACAGGAACTGAGCATTACAACAGAGGAAATGGATTCAAAGGAAAGGCAGTGGGTTTCCAGAATTTGAAGGAAAAGCATCATTTCCCAGCTGAGGGAAGAATAGTTCTGGTATCGAGGAATAGTGCAGTGGGTGTTGTAAGCATAAACACCTTAAAGATTGTGAGACACTCGAGTACTACAGTACTGAGATAGATATTTGTAGTATCACTTTTTTAATACCCATTGGTTCTACCATTAGGAATGTGCATAATGATATACTTCAGGTTTTGTTAATTATGACACAACATGCCTACTGATCATTTTACTATTTTGATTTAATATAACCAGGAATTGCTACTTTACATAAATTTTCTTATGTTAATTTCCTGTTAATACTTTTTTTCACCTTTCTGTGAATGGCATTAGTGTTGGAAGAGTTTACTGCATCTTGGTTGGTAATGTGCCAAAATTTTACTCTTGCTCTTGAGCAAAAAGTCCAGAGTTAGAGGCATATAAACTTCCAAGGTTTAGCTCTTAAAAGGAAAAGTTTGAGAGGCAACATTGCTATGTTTGCAATGTTGTTTTAAATTGTCAGTTCCCATGAAGCATTTTTCCTCTTCAGTGAACTCAGTATTTAAACTTCATTATAGCAGCTAGTACTCAGTTTTAATTTCTTTGATTATTTGTGAAAGCCATGTAAAGAGGGGCTTTGGTGTTTGTGCTTCCCCAGACGAGAAATACTATCCCATATAAGTTAATAGATGAGAGTTTTTAGCAGGGGTGTTCACTCAGAGAATTAAAGCTTTAGGATTTCACTACACCTCAAATAGATATCATTGCCTCATCATTTTAGAAGGCACCAAATATATAACTTGGACAGCTTTAGAACCACTTAAAATAAGCACCATCGTGGTAATGTATCCAGGGAAAATAACTTCATAATTCATCCAGTGATACCTCTGTAACTAAAGATATTTCAGCATGTTTCCAATGGTCTCAGGGCAAGGTTTTCTCATTGTGTGGTGACCTCTTTTGTATTCTCTGTGCTGGCTACAGTACACTCTAGATAAGAACTGGCATTGCTGGAGACAGGTACTTGGTTACTTCTGACTAGAATTTCCCACTCTGAGCTGCTACCTCATCAGGTTCATGCACCTTTGCGGGTCAATACGTTGTTAACGCTATTAATGGACAAGCATATTGGAAGCAAGAGGCCTGTTTCTCCACCATGTGATGAAAAATAAAGGCAGTTAGGCAATGCCAGTGGGTAGCAGCTGTTCTAAATTTAAAAAAAAAATGAGAAGAGTGGCTACACTTTTTCTGAGAATAAATGTGCCTGCAGTTTATTTGTTCACACAAGTGCCACTAGAGTTGCAAGCCTTTCTTATTTTTGAAGTTCATATTGACTATAACACAGAGATGTCATGTCCTTCAAAGAAGACTGCCACCTGTATTGTATAACTTGTTAGAGATTTTGAGTCAAAGTCTGCCTGAACCCTACTGAAGTCCACTTTGTGGCAGAATCCCATGTTCCCTTAAATGGCCACAAAAGGAAGTCCTATGCCAATATCTGAAATTGGTATTCAAATATACTTTCAGCCAAGCTGTACCATCAGGCCAGTTTACGGCCTTATGTTTGGAAGATGCTTTGTCCAAAATACTATGTAATCAACAAACACTTCAGTCCTACTACTGGAGGGAGATCAGTACAAAAAATGGATTCAATATGTTATATTCAGCATACTTGTATGCTGCTAAATGTACCAATTGCTAGGTATACTCATGTGGTTCAGAATATGTGCCAGGTTTTGTTCCATGTACCAAATACTTTAAGGTTCGAAGTTCCATTGGAATATCAACAGTGTAAAGAAAAGTCACCACATTCTGCTACAGCACAGAAATTGTAGAAGAGTTGAGCAATGAAAGGATTACAGACACTGACGAAAGCCATTCCTTAACATATAATTTCTTTTGTTTGTTTTTTTCATTTGCTATTGTTTGCGATTGTTATTAAAATGTATTTGCATATTACTTTTTTCATTTTTAATTGGGCAAGCACTGATTCTCCCTGCCCCTTGTAATTGTGGTGGAATATCCACCAAGATGGCTAATGTTTATTTCATGTATTGTGCACCACCAGCATCAAAGATGCCACTGCAGCTCTGAGAATAAAGCGTTCGTTAGGTTATGTTCCTTCAGCTATCTGGGTAGCAGGCTCTGCTGCAGCAGTAGAGCATAAAACAGTTCTTACATAAACAGTGGGTCTAGTAAAGTGCTTTATTTTGATTAATATTTTGCTAGCAGAATGGGGACTGCAAAGAGAACAAACTTTTAGGATCTGCACTTAGGCCTGAGTCCAGCAAAGCACTTAAGCACATGCTTAATTTCAAGCAATGCTTGAAGTGCTTTGCTGGTGTCTTAGATGCTGAGGTGACAGACACATTCTAAAAATCTTAGAGTATAACAATTCCCATTAGACTATAACAGTTTTAAAGTAGATAAAATTATTGGGCTAAATTACTCAGCTTCTCTTTAAAAAGTTATCATAGGTCCCTTCAGTTACAAAACTGCATCATCAAAATTAGACAGCTGAAATATTGTATGGTATGGAATCATGCTGGGTATATAAAAAACCCACATACTTGGTTTCATAGTTTCTCAGACCTCTGTTCACTCTGTTCTGAACTGTGATTTGGGCTTTGTGGGAGTAAAGTAGGGTGACCAGATGTCCCGATATTTCGGGGTATTTCAGGGTGTGTCCTAAGATCGGTCAGGAAGCAAATTGTCCCGCTATCTGCCGGCAGGGACTGACTCAGCGTTTTTTCCCCACTCCAGCGGCAGGGACTGACTCAGCTTTTTTTCTCTCTCTCTCTACTCCCCCCCCCCCCATGTGTCCCGTTTTTTTCTTTCCCTCATCTGGTCACCCTAGAGTAAAGGGGAGTGAGAATCATTTTTACAACCCTGTGCAAGCCCTTGGAAGTGGGTGTAGGTGGGCTACAAGTGGCGCTCTGTCCGCTTCTACAGGTATCTGGGCGAAAGGTAAAGGTTGATGAACCTGCAACCTTTGGCTAATTGACTTGACCTTTCAGCTCAGGCACAAGGGCTTCATGCTTTAAGAACCAGAGATCCCAAGTACAATCTCAGCTGCAGACAACCCATCCAGGGTCATCAGGTTTCCAGTGGTAGCCTTTATTGGCAATGGAACTGGGTGAACCTGTAAAACTTGGCATGAGCTTCCTCAGCCAAGGCTGTAGCAGGCTCATCAACATCAGTCTATGGCCAAGCCACCTCTAGAGTGGCTAGTCCAGAGCTGGTGGACAGGAAGAGGAATGGAAAGTGAAGAGCCTTGGTGCCCCCCATTTCCCGATGCAAAAGCCAGTACAGCTGAGCCAGCATGGCCGGTGGTATACTTTGCTCTTGGTACTACTCCAGAGCAAACAGAAGCAGGGAGGGGAGTGGATTTTGGAGGACTATCTCCAAGGCATAATGCCTCCTTGGTCTACTCCTATAATGGTGTAGCTTACAAAGCACCCCATGGTATATTAGGGCTTTGCTTAAAGACACAGTCCAGTTCTATGAAAACATAATTATTTTAATGTTTTCTGATTCAGTTTATGACCACATCAATACAATAAAACACACTGCTGCTAAGGTCTAACTGACATTGCACTCCAAAATTATATGTACTGTAACTAATATGTCTGATTTCATGCATTTAAATATTATCTTTTGATGATCAAATAATCAGGGAAATGGTGTAGTATCTTTTTTTCTGATTTATTTGTGCTATTTTGAAAATTTGTCTCTTCAGAAGCCTCCTATTCCATAAAGCATTTTCAAGAGTTTCACTGCATTTTCCCTCAATCCTCCTATTTTCTCCTGTGCTGTAGGATCTGAGGGAAGAATGTGTAAAGCTGAAAACAAGAGTTTTTGATTTGGAACAACAGAATCGAATGCTAAGTGTGCTTTTTCAACAAAGGGTCAAACCAGCTTCCGACCTCCTTCTCCAGGTAGGAAGAAACCTTTGCCTCTGGAATCTGCTAAATTTAGATTCAATACATTTAAATAATATTAATCTTCTTAAGATAATGTTAGCACGCAAGAAGTGACAACTGATAGACATAATATATTAGAAGAAAATTGGTTATCTATCATCTGATAGCATTGAAATTGAAAGTGTACACCACCAAACTTTGGCTGCACATTATGTGCAGATGTGGAGAGAGAAGTGTATCTGAGGAATAAGTTACTTTTTGAAGTGCCTCCTCAGGAAGATAAATGGGATGACATATGGGTTCATTATTCCTTTTGGGGGGGCAAAAATTGTGGTCACATAATTCCATAATATTCCATTTGATAGTAAACAAAGCATAATTTTCTATGAGAAAGAAATCAGTCTGTTTAGCTTTCTCCATGTTTGTTGTAGTGATTCAATATATTACATAGACCCAGAACAATATTTTATTTACCTTTTCTGGGACAAGACAGTCAAGAACTCAGATGTAGAGTAACCTGTCTCCAACTCTTCCTTGTTATCCTGGAAAAATCAGGAAGGCTGCAGATTTTCTTTCGATGTGGCATTTCCCTTAATATGAAATTACATTTATTTTCCCTATTATTCTTTGTTCCCCTTCCCATTAGAAGTGTCTAGCAGCACCTCTGCGTTAGCCAGAAAATCTGACCATGAGCTGGGTTGAAATTAAATGAAGGTAACTTTAGGTTGAGATTGAGAAGCTTCTTAAAGAAGATCCAAATTCTGCCCTTTATGTGTATACAGTTCTCACTGAGATCAAAGAAAGATACATGAGAGTGCAGAATTTGGCCTATGTAAGAGCATGAATGAAACTCTTATGGAAATCACCAGGTGTTCCACACATGTATATGATGGTGAAATTTGGCCCTTAGGATGTCATATATCTTCTCAAAAGAACTGGTGTCAGTCCTATGACTAAAGTTATTTGAAACTGGACTGTATCAAGTGCTATGGAATATACTGAAGAGAATGAACCTGCCTTGGTAGCAGGAAGGAGTAGATGATCTAGTAAGTCTTTTTATTTCTGGCTTGTATGAATTTGTAACATTTATCATTGTTGCCTCTCCATGGTTTAGCAGGCAGACTCTTCATATCTGCAGAATTTTTCTGACTTCACTTGCTTAGTCTTTATTGGCCAAGTGAGAAGGGGTACCACTGTTATTCCTAAACTCCATGTCTCCCATCTGACAGCAAAATGTACTGCTGATGTTCAACTGAACTAGGTCATCAACATATTTTGAGACCTTGGGAAAAATCAGAGGAAGAGTGTCACTGTATTTCAGACAATGAAGGACTTCTGATAAAGATGATCAGTGTCAAATATTATTTTTTTGCAGAAAAACAGAACAGTAAATTTGTGAATTACCAAAATTTAACTCATCTTCTAAATTAATTTGCCCAATGGAATCTAATTAATCATCTGAGAGTTTAAGATTTTCAAAAAGATATTTCCAAATGATATTACTGTTAGATTAGGCAACTAATAATATGTCTGCCATAGGGGTTGCCACATTAGTGGACACTTTGGATTATACTCTTAAACCCAGATTCAGAAAAGCTTTTAAGCACTTGCTTAAGTTACCCCATTCAGGAATGTACTCAAGTGTGTACTTAAATACATGCCTGAATCACAAAGTTTTCTTGAGTTGGAGCCAAACACCATAATTATTTGAAAGGGCGGTTGCTTAAATGTTCTGATGGTCCCTTCTACATACACAGGCAACCAGGAGACCACAACTCTCTCAAAACCTGTGGAGTTGACACTTTGCAGCTTCCATGTGGAATCTCTGCACATTTAGCTGCACATGGATGTTCTAAGGCGGTGGTTCCCATTGATAAATTGTATAATCAATTCCTTGACCACATTTTGGTTCATTATGAAATATATTCAATAGACCAAATAGCCAATGTCAGTCAGGTTTATTGCTATAAGCCAATAATAATATAGTACAGGAAATAGTTTTTATACGATACCAGTCTCTGGAAAGCTGTCTTGTGCAGCGTTGTCACATTCACCTTACATGGACAAAGTTACACATTTCAGCTGGTAGTATTTATCGGATGATTTTACAAGTTAACATTTCTTTACATGTCACTAAACTTCAACCCATCAGTTTGTCCCAGTTCATTAACTTATAGACTCATCTTATCTTTGTTTTGGATACTAGCATTCCAGGTACTGGTGTTTGAAGGTACCTTCTAGGTTTGTACCAGGTTAGAACAATCATATCTTGTCATCTTTCTTTGGACTATTCCAGTACTGGCCTGTGGGAATAACTGTATCTCTTGCTAGGGTAAAATACACACATGTCCTTATCCTGACAACTTTGCTATCTGCTTAAGCCAAAGCTTACTTCAACTAATGCACGGTGTTATGGGATATCAGCATAAGTGAATAGGCAGGATTATAGTAAAGATACAGGCCAGTTTAGGCTGTATAACTGCTATAATATTTGTGCTTAATGATATTTCTGCTTAATGCATAGTAATATATATATATATGGTGTGAATAATATACATATGACTAATATGATATATGTACAGGCTAGCCAGCATATATTGGTCAACATTCCGAAACATTTTATTGAGGCAACCTACCCAACTGCATTTTGTGTTTTTTTGTGACCCACCATAATGTACATGCACCCTCCACCCTGACACCGCAACCCAAATCCTTGCCCAATGCAGAGGGGAGACATTGGAAAGATAGGTAGTGGATGGTGGAGAGTGATCTGCCGCCTATGACCCATTTGGAATCTTCGCATGACCCACTGGTAGATCGAGAACCACCCTTTGGGAAACACTGTCTTAAGGCAGGGTGTGTGATCCATGTGTTTTAGAATGGAGTCCCAAATCCACCTTCATTTACTAAGCACTATTCCTCAGTTGAATTATTCTTATTCTCTAAAGATATAGTTGAGTTTAGAGAAATTATATAATCAATAACTGTCTTCACTTTACACATTGTGTACACATTTATACATTCTGAAAAGCATCTAAATGACTTAGGAACATGAGTCCGATAACTTAGGGATGGGATTTTCAAAGGAGACTAACGCTGAGAGTTTTGAAAATCCCAGCCTAGGCTCACAAGCCCTATTCAAAGTCAGTTGTACTTGTGCTACTCATTTACTTACACATGTGTGAACATATCATCATTTGTTTATTGTTGCTTTATACAATGCAGTACAATGTTATTTTCATACAAATCTCATCCTAAAATTATTTGTACAATTAAATAGTTACAAATTTGAAATAAGTGAGTGCAGGGGAAGAACAAAATTGAGTTAATCTTAGTTGTTTTCTTCTGTAGTTATCATGTATACCATTATCACCAGTGACTTGATTGCATGTTACCAGCAGATTATTCTGCAACCAGACATTAGTAAATTCTTTTACTTAAATTTAAATGTACTTTAAAAACTATATATGAATTTCTTGGCATACCAAATGCGAATTAAAGTATGGATTTCTTTCATTTCAGTGGTGTTGAAATCTTGCATCACTGAGCTTAAATGCTTTTCAAAATAATGAATCACCAGTATCGTAGGTTATTTTAGTGCATTTGACTTTAAACAAAGCCTTCACAATCTGTTTGGTTTCTGCTTATAAACAAGAGGAGAACATAACTCACTATGATCATTTAAGGATGTGATACAAGTGATTTAAATTTGAGTGCAGAACATGTTCCTTATATAATACCGAATGCACTTTGCTGTTTTTCCTCATGTTTCATAGGTAGATCAAAAAGAAAAACTGATTACTCCAGATTTAGTAAATTTCATGCAAGGGAGGTTTAAAAGACAACTTTAAGAAGGCTTCATTGTAAAACAGTTATTAAGTATCACATTTTCATGAATTTTGGATAAATATAAGTATCCATTAAATCCTAGGGACTGATAGTACTGAACAAGAAATTACTGTGTTTATCTGGGGGATTTGATTATGCAGATTGCTACATTAATTCTTTGACACTAGAAATTTCGGTGCGTCCATTGCTGGCAGTATATGTCACACGGGGGAAATCTCATTCCCATCTTGAAAAGATTAAGTAACCCAAATAATGTACCTGCCCCTTTGGGAAGTGTATAGAAAGAAAGATCAGGAGCTCAGTTTTAGCTAGCCATGTTACATATAAACTGTCAGTGAGCCACACACCAGGAGGGAATGTTAGAGAGGCTGAGATTTGAGCTTGGATGAAAAGGAGCAATCAAGGAAGACAAGGCCAGTGCAGAGAAACTAAATGAGGTGAGAGGCAGATATGTGAGTGTTTGGTATAAAGATGGTAGCTGAAGACACGTGAATGTATGAGATAGAGTGCAGAGGGTGAAGACCTAGAAGGAAGCCCATGCCTGCTGAATTGATGACACAGGATATCTGTAATATAGGAACAACATTTTAATTCTTGGTGTTACAGTATTTCTCTCTGCCTCATTATTTGTCTTTCTAAATTAATATACATTCTGTTGTGAAAGGAAACATTTTATTTCTAAAATTGCCTAAAAATGAACTTCGTTTCTCCATCCTTCAGCTGCTGCTCCCCAACACACACCTTTGACTTTGTCCGTTCAGATCGTTTATTTTTTTCTCTTGAAACAGAGAAATGAGTTCAGTGCTTTCTCTTCCCATCATTGCCCTCCCCCGCCCTTACAGGTGAAAATGGAATTACAGACACTGGCTTGATTCTGATCTCATGTTGTACACGTCTTTTACCTCAGAGTAACTCCACTAATTTCATTGGAGTTATTCCTGATATAACCCACGTACAGAGAGAAAAAGCCAGTCTATTGAAAAATTCTTTATAGAAGAGGTAGTGCCAAATTCTGCCCTCAGTTACACTCATACAATTGCACAAATGTAACTGAGGGCAGGATTTGGCCTGCCATATATACCAAAGCCATTCTATAATAGCTTGTATACTACCATGAAAATCAAGTAAAGGTCTAAATAAATAACAGTTTTACATTAGAAGGTGCA